AGACCTACTCTTTCAATTATATAGCTTTAAATGCATTAGATTACGATACATGCATATATCTATGGCAGTCAAAGTATTCATCACACATGCATGAAATATATATATTATGAGTACAACTTAATCATGTTGTTAAAACAAATGCCCCCCCCCCCCCCCCCCCGACATATTGCCCATAGTACTTATTTTTACCTATTTTCACCTCTATGCCGAATTCGATTTATTAAGCATACATAAATAAGATTAAAAAGTGCGGGTGAAAAACCATAAGTCGAAAAAAAAAACAGACAACATCATAGTCAAAAGGCAACCAACAGTTTACAGAACAATTAAGACTTAGCAACGCGAAACGAACCAAACACCGTGGGTGAACTCTGGTGCTCCAAAAAGATACACAAGTCTTGCTTCACCACTGACCGTTTCATTGAAAGTACGATATGCTAACCTTTAGAATTTGAATCAAAAACAGTTTAGTTTTAGTATTTATTTTTGTATATTCGTTTTTCTGTTTTTTTCTTCCTTTTTACATATTTATCTTGACTTTTGATTATTCTCGATTGCATAAGTTTCAATTGGGTTAAAATGTAATTTTTTTTCTATTTTTGAAATAGTAAATTTATATATAACATTTTAGAATATATTACCTGTTACGGTTTCCTGTAATTTTTTCTGACTTAAAAAACTGGTTTCATCACATATCAGATAATTATTCATTCATTTATTTATTTATTATCATAAAAAAAAATTAAATCAAATTATTCTATTTTGTGAGTTAATATTGAAGTTGAGTAGCTAGGTATTCTTTTTTGATAAAATGTTCGTATATGACGTTTCATATCAGCATCTTCTCAATATTCTATAAACTAACGGAAAGGGTACCTATAATATAGCAATACAGTATCGTTCCTGTGGTTTTTTTTTCTATTCCCAAAGTGTTGTTTTCTTTCCAATTTCCACTGAAGCATCCTTTGCCTAATATGTTTAAGCCACATCTCTTCCCTTTAATTTCTAATAATGACACCACATAATCAACTATAGATTTGCTTCATATCTAACTGGAAACATCGACCGCTAGGGTTGATTTAGGCACCGAATATTCATCTTTAATGGAGGCATGATTTTTTTTCTCTGGACAAACATTTTTTTTTTAAATTCAGATTCAAATATTGTTTTTTTTTAAATCATACCACTCCACGCACTAACACACATATACTAAACGGGTAAATGGTCGTAGCCTTAGAACTAATTTTCGACATAAGAGATTTCAATTTTTTATTGAAATTTTTCCAGCATCACGTTTCTACATGTTATATCTCCTAGTTTATGTGATATTCAAGAGTTTATTGCCCAATCAGTATGTCATTACGATAGAAGGTTACTGCCTACTAGAATGCTTTTTAATATAGGGCTCTTAATACCATATCTGAAGTCATTCCTTCGAAAGTTTTACGGACGCCATCAAGACATGTTTGCCATTACTGAATATATGTTTGACCTATAGTTCATTTGGTCTCTTGTGGAGAGTTGTCTCATTGGCAATCATACCACATCTTCTTTTTATATTCGTAAATGACACAACAGAATTGCCGTATTTGCAGTCACAATTCTTTTACTCCTTTCCTTTTTGGTGATTCATCATTGAATGCGACATATAAACGCATCTTTACTTGTCATCTCAAACAGAGAGGTGCCACTGAAAAAGCAAGAAGTGTCTATCCTTCCACTTGAGTTGATCACTGGGACTTATTTACATTCTGCTCCTCAATCTTTGGTATTCTGTGCATCTTTTGCATGTGTGTCCTTTTATCGTAGTTTTCTTCTTTAAAAAGTAAAATAACAAAAAAAACCAACTCCAAGGAAGGAAAATTCAAAACGGAAAGTCCTTTAGCAAATAGCTAAATCAAACACATCAAACGAATGGAAAACAATTGTCATATTCCAGACTTGGTACATGCATTTCCTTATGTAGAAAATGGTGGATTAAACTTGGTTTTATAGCTAGCTAAACCTTTCACTATGATATTTGAGATGCTTTATTGGAGCAAGAACTGTTTGACCTTCTGGACACTTGTCCTTATGGAGCACTTGAGTCCAACCCTGGTTTTTGCTAATTTTAGTATTGATTAGTATTGGTCAATCTGTAGTTTTCTATGTAATGTTTTATTATTCTTGTCTGTCCTTTCGTTGTTTTTATTTTTGGCCATGGTGTTTTCGGTTTGGATTGGCCTTATGATTTTCGATTGGCCCCTTCATATCTTTTCATTCTCTTCTTTGATATATTCTCCTTTAAAAAAAACATCCTTCCGGTGCTTTCAAAAGTACATTTAACTGCAGACGAACAAATATCTGACACTAAAATCTCTACAGACATGAAAAATGACATGACATCAGCATACACTGACGAGAATTTTGACATGCGGTAGACAAATGGCAGGGTTAAGATAATTTCTTTAGTTGTGAAAAGCAGATCTTCTTACAATTATCTCCAAAATGAAAAAAGTTCCTTTCTATTTTGTTATTCAAACTACAAAGAAAAATAACTACTAGTAATCAATTTGTTGTTGGAAGAAACAAAATAGCCGTTTTAAGTAAGAATCATGCACATTGCAATGTGTTTATGCTCAAGACGGATAGTCATATATTTGTATGTTTGGGAATTGCTTCTTTTTTGTTTCATGTGCATTTGCTTAACAAACTTTTGAAATCAATGCATATGATAAAGACTAACACAAAGAAGGCACATATGATCCATACGCTAAAAGGAGGAAGGATCATTTTACACATGTACACACAAGTTCAAAATCCAACATTTTGGCGAAATCTAATGAACTTGAATACACTGTATTAAAAGAAAATATAAATGATATGCTTAAATGGACCTTGTTGAGGGTTTGATTATTATTGTCCCCTTCGGTCAGTAGCCCTTCAAGATTTTCGGTACATGTACATCTTTGGCTTTCAAATATTTATCTTTGAGCGTTATTGAAGAAGGTAAATTAACAGTTTACCTATGTTCAAATTTTATATCTCGATCATAACTCGATTAAGAAGACAAATCATTTGTTACCAAGGTAACAAACAAAAAATGAGGTAATCCAGAAAAGCGCTTCGAACGCATAAAATTTAAAAAGTGATTTTTTGAAAAATAAAATAAAAGAAAAATAATTCCCTAAAATCAAAACGTTTTTCAGTTCTTGTATTGCTTTTCATGGGTTTTTTTATTGCTGTTGAAGACAAGTTTTACCAAATATTACAAATTTTACATGTTTTGTAATATTTTACAGCAAATTAATATATAATGTAATTCATTTGTATCTGGAAAAAATTCGGAGCATTAATTTCGGTAGAATTTTAGTTTTTTGGTGAAGAATATTTTTATTTGTTTCTGGGGTAAGCCTTTTGATAAAATGGTCCTTGTGTGATATAAATTCAATGAAAATTTTCATTCAGAGTTAATGAATGAAAATTTAACTTGATAAATTTCGTGAGTTCGAAGCTCTAATTGTTGTGGACTTTACTCGTTTTTTTTTCTCTCGCGTTCGATGGTAATATTGGTCATAACAGTCATTGGCATTGAAAGGGAAGTAATCTCTGGTGTCATGATGTGGTCAGACAGACAACAAGTCTTCAGAAAGTTAATGTAAAAAAGTTATATTATCCAAGATGAATCAGATGTTACTACTACAACAGACAGGGATAATCATGTAAATACTTTCTCCCAATCATTCAGTCTATGAAATTATTTAAACTTAGCTTTGAAATTCTATATCCCACTTGTCAAAGACATGATAGAGACGAAGTTAAATATTTCGTGTATTCCTATAATTCTGAAACTTGATGCGATAATTTGTAGGCCTCATTAGTTCTCTCGCATTCAAATCTTTCAAATGTTCTATTTTCCGCTTTATGAATATAGATGATATCGTAACATAACATGACATATGAATATCCCTTAAAAAAGAAAGTTATTATGTATTTGGATAAGATGGCAATAAAATTAAAATTACTGATAAATCTAATAAATTTTGATGATGAAAACGTCTTAATCATTTTTGTATTTGATCGGATGCTAACAGTTATTATTTGTTACTGTTTGGTGATGTTTTACGACTGGAAAAAATCGGTGTTTTTTCTTACTATTTTGGCAAATTATGCTGTGGATGCTTCTCTTCAATATGTAAATAATAGTGAGACGTTTTTATTCAACGTTCTTAATATACATACTACTTCTTACACTGTATAGAAATTGACCATAACTGATGTATAATTTATTTGAAGAAAATGCCACAGCTATTGCAATGAAGCTTCATTTCTTTTTTCTAAAGACACTACCTTTAAGAAAAGTACTACATATTTTTTTCTTATATAAATATATATATATATATATTATAAACTGCATACGGATAAATTGTTTCGCTCCTTTTTGTTATTCCAATTGTGTTCCACTTCTTTGTTTCTCTGTTTTTCACTTTGACTGGTGAGATATGAACAATGGTATACTACGTTTATATTTATCTTTAATTTTGTTATAAATTGTATAAGTGGTGTAAATATATTTTATGAATATGCGTATGTTCTAAACTAAGGTTTTGACTGTTTAGTTTTGGCTTTTTTTTTTATTCTGCTCTGAACGCCATTTATATTTTTATGTTTCCGAACTTTCGGATTCGAGAGTATCTGATGACAGTTATTCCAGAAATATGTCACGTGTCGGACGCAAAACTCACGAACAGTGATCTCTCTCTCTCTCTCTCTCTCTCTCTCTCTCTCTCTCTCTCAAAATTACAATTTGGTATAAATTATTGCCACTAATTTATTATTATTATTATTATTATTATTATCATTAATATTATATGTTGTTAACAACGCTTCACTTATTAAATCTATTGTAAAATTAAGTTGAAATAGATCAGGTTAACTTTAAATTTGACTTGTCAAATGGCTTCCACTACACAACAAACAAACCACATCGATGGGTTTAATCGTTGGTTCATTTAAAGGTAAAGTTTTTATAGTGATTGCCATTGTTATGGGTCTAGTGTTTTAATTTGAACTCCGTGAGGTTTCACCTGACCTTAAAATACTGGTCCACTTTTAAATCGTTTGATAGTGGAAACCTAACACTATCTTGTACAATCAAGAAAAACTATCAGATGGTCATCATTTTAAACTGTTAAATAATAATAATGCATTACCTTCTTAAAATAGCCTTATCAGATGAGAGAGAAGTTTTGACAGGAACTATTCATAATTTTTAAGGTAAGAACAACACGTTATCCGGATTTGTCTCGATTTTTTTTTTTCTTCTTTTTATTTCAAAAAGTGATAATCGAAGTTTATTAGTATCTTGTAGAAGTTCCATTACACTAAATTATTTATTTCGTTTGTATAATCATCATGTTTCTTGTTCTGTGGCATCTCATAATTTGATGTTCATTCTGTATAATATATATGCTTCTTAAATTTCCAATATGAAGTGAATCCGGGTCCATAGAGGGATCTGTTCCAGTTAATAAACTACTTGGAATGACTCGGAAACCAAAGGAAATTAGAGGTGTCATATGATATGTCTTTCTAACGTTACAGCATCACAAACAAATTATCCAAGAACCAACCGACGTCTGCATCCCTCTAGGAGTATCGCTGTCAATCATTTAATTCAGGACTATCGGAATCTGTCCGGAGTTAGATCCCTCATCAGTGACCGGCCATTTAATTGTCACCGGGTCCGTTGTTTATATCGTTGCTGCCAATGGTTAAACACCTCTCGATCAGCAGTTCTTTTTATGGCTCAATAACTTCTGTAACACTTGTGTATGAAAACAAAGCGGTAAACTTTGGGGGTGGGGCTTGTTAATAGATAAGAAATACAGAACTGTAACTAAACATAAATATTTTTAAGCATAGAACATAAAAGCGTTTACCTGAGTGACTACTCTACTACTATCGGATTGCAGTAGTACAGACAGGATGCATCCTCAGGCAGTCATGGACCCTTATCATTACTCAGGTGAGTACTATCTATTATTTGTATAGTAATTGCTACCAACTTTGTTTACACTTTTTGACATATGTTTGTGAAATGTTAGCTTTTACATTGACTTTTAGTGTGGAAATCGTGTGCGTGCTAAACGTTTTAAAATGTAAGGTGTCTTCATAAAAAATTAAGCTTGCTGGTGAATAATTTAAGAGAAGTCTACAAAAAAGAAAGATGAAGAAAAAAAGAACTGGAAAAACAATTTAATTTAAAACGTCTTTGTTCGGGTGATGTTGAGTGGATGCAACATAAATGAAGCAAACGGAGTCATAAATGTCTACAAACTGAGCACTGCCAGTTGTAATTAATATGTCGCTATAATAACAGTGATCATTTCCGATCTGCGAATTTTGTATAATTGTCAACCATTTAGTTTAAATATTGTTATTTTTCATTGTGGAACTACAGCATGTCGGTCAGAAAATAATTCATTTTTATAATGCCCTTTATTTATTAAATTTGTAATGAAATTAATATTTGGTTTTTCTCTTTTCATTTTCTGTTTTTTTAACTGTATAATAGATTGATACACTATAATTAGACAAGTTCGTAAATATCTAAAAAGAAAATGCAGAAGATTTTTATATGTATAAATAATAAAAGTTTTAATCGGAAATCCAAATAATGTCATGTACTACCCAACCACTAAAAAACCTTGTACAAGATTAAAAAAGTATACACATAATAAAACTATGAGAATTAACAAATGGCTATTAGAATGAATTTTGACATCATAAAATCATTATTTGTGCATTTTGGGGAAAACATTTTGGTTTTTTTTCATATAAATAAGTATTAATGTGATTTAACCACGTATATTTTACTATATTTATTCTGTTTTAATATTTGCATATGAAATAATCAAAACTAAACCGTGAAAATATGAAATGATAAAACAATCAACAAGAATGTAGGGTAAATATTTTGAAAACGAATAAAAATAAGATACGGTTTTGTATATTTTAATATCTACATGAAGTCTCTTTGATGCACATATAGACTTGATTTATTAACAGCAAAAACTGTTATTTGTCTTGAATATTTATCAATGAATAATATTTGTTTAGAATAGTAATTTATAATGAAAGAAAATTATTCTTCTGTTAAAAACAGTCTGCTCATTGTGTTGAAAATAAATTCTCACGAAACCGTAACTGTTAATCGAATTATAAAAATGTTTACAAGAAATTAACAACCCTTAAACGAAAAGACACAGCAATGGACGCCTTAACCCCAATTACTCAACATATTTGATTCTAACCAAACCGACAAACCTCTTTTAAAACACAATTATTTTTTTCTTCTTTATCTCTGATCAGTTTTATTGACTCAGTGCAATTGTATATTTTTCTTTGTCGTTTATCAATTGGCATTTAGCTTTATTTATTTTGATATCAATCTCAATTTAACGAGACAAATAAATACATGATATCTAACTGATTATTATCTACTAACCCTACATATTTGGGGAGGATTAATTATTTTTCGAGTATTCAAATGTACAGATTGTTTATCAGTTTTGTAAAATTATAGCAAAATTTATGTATGTTTCATTTAAAGATAAATACCAGATACGATATAGATTTTGTGTATTGCCATTAAAACACACTATCAAATTATTTTACTGGACAAATTTTATACAAGATTGGCGAAATTATACCGTAGGCCAGTTTAACAGGGTATGATCGTTGTGTTATAATGTAATAAAACTCTCCATAATTCATACGGTAATGGCCACAAATTATACATTATGTTCGTTGCAATTTTTCAAATCAAACCAAATAAAAGTCTCAATTTTCATAAATTGAGGCAATGTTTCATATCTATAGCTGTATATCGTAATCAGTAGAAATGGACCAGTAAGTTACACAGAAGTTGATTGTAGTTTTATTGTTTTATTTCCTTGTACATTGTCAATTATTTCGGAAACAAGAAATATTTGTATCAAGTTGTTGCATTCTTTACCTCACAATTTTTCAATGGTTTAAGGTTGAACTTTTAAAAAATCTCGTCGCCTTAAACATTTCTAAAATTATATAAACTCCGATTCTTATGATATTTTTTTTTTAAGAAATGAAATTTAAAAAAAAAGAGATTGTTTGACATGTTTGTTTTTTTTCTAATTTGAAAAAAAAATATTTGTACTGAATATATCCTGTTCGTTCAAATATAAATAAACATTTGATAAATTCATTGTGTCCGAAGCGCTCTTTTTGGATTTAGCGTCACCAGGAAAGCTCAAACCTAAACATCTGAAAGCTAGAGATGTGTAAATACGCTGTAACGTTGAAAGCTAGAGATGTGTAAATACGAGCTGTAACGTTGAAAGCTAGAGATGTGTAAATACGCTGTGACGTTGTGATTAACAAGGCTTTCCTGTTTAAGTCATTTGGAATATTTTGCCCATTTCGTATTTAGAAGCCTATCAATAAAATAATACTAAATCTTTTCAGAAAAATAAACTCCTAGTTTAAAATAAATAGCTAGTTTTAATTCATGATTTTCTACTAAATTAGCTTTTGGTAAATAAATAACAAAAACTATTTCAGTTATTTGTTAAGTTACTGAAACAGATAGAATAAAAGCATTTTGTTTTCATTATAACTGGACTTTGATATGATCTTTTATATTAACTTCAATGTAAAATTATAACTATTATACACATTTGAAAGATTATTCTATAATCCTTTAATCCATTTAAAGAAAAATGGTGTTTACTTAAATATTAAAAAGATGTTAATCCTATCAATCGTCTGCTCATTCGCTGTTCAAAACTGCTTCATTGATTTAAGTGGAACATTAAATTTAGTATGAAAATTACAAAATCATTAAAAAAAATTATGTATAAATCTTTAATAATGGGAATTGATTTACTGTAAATTTGTTAAAGAATTGTGATGATCTTGTGTATAATGTTACTGAAAAAAATGTTTTCGCTGAACCAAGTTAGCTTTGCATGATAGTCATGCATTTTTAACATCATGCTTAATACTTGAGCAAATATCTATTGGTTACAAAGTATTTATATGAAGAGAGTCGTCAGAGACATACACGGGTTAAAATGATACTTTTATAAATTAATTGAACTTATGGACCATAAAGTATGTAGAAAAGGAGGTGTCTAATATACGTCAATAAGACAGCAACTAAATGACACAAATTACTAAATTTATAGTTCATTATAGTTCATTATTGCTAGCTCCTCAGGCATTTAGTATTCCTTGCTTCTTACTGTAAACTAAAAAAAATCATTCGTGTATTGTCTTCTGTGTTCCCATTTCTAGTTCCTTGTTTGGTAGAGTTGGTTTATTAATTTCTACAAGCTACACGAATATGTTGGCCTCAAGAAACAAGATTTGTACATACGAAAAGTAACTGCCTGAGCTTTTTAGTACATACTGTTTATAGTGCATAAGGTCTAAGTTTTTTTAAACGCAAGAAGGAACTGTTGACAATTTTTTTCAAAACATGTCTTCGATAGCATTGTCTTCTTGCGTCGCGAACGTATTAATTTGTGAGTCAAAGTTTTTCTGGTATGGTCATTGACTAAAGCCTTTTTTATTGAACGATATCTACTCTCCTGTATCGCGTCGGAATAAAACTAGATTTGGGGTATATATTCAACAAGTCAGCTACAAAACAACACAAAAGACGCTAGGGGTCTTTCTTTTCCGCGTCTGCTGTACGAAATTATATGCCTGGTATCTCTGATGAGTTTTTTCGAAGATTTTCTTCTTATGATATTGTGGACCAAATAATTATGGGATAAAATGGTACAAGCAGGTACAATACTTCGACAAATTTTATATGTTGAGGCGATTCACAAATTTTGTTTTTTTCTATACATTTGAAGAAGAAATAGCAATTGCGTTTTCTTATTGACTTGATGGATATAGTTGCTGATTTTTATCAACATTCAGGTTTATTACAATAAGGACATTACGCATTGTTAAAAAAAAATAATGATAAAGCAACAAAGTGCAGGCTTACAAATTTGTGATTTGTTGTTTTTATTGTTTTTATTGTTTTTGTTTCTTCTTTTTTTTTATTTATCTCCTTTAGATATTCTGTTTTGCAGTAACCGTTTTAATGTGTTGCATATTTTTTCAAACTATTCTGTAAAGATTTTCTTTCATTGGAGGAAATGTTTAATTTATGATTTAAACATCTGAAAGAATATATCTTAAGACCTATTCATTTTCATTTTATTTTTTTGGTATCAAGTATGTGTTATCAAAATCATTTGTATTGGAACCTTTTTGTATCTTTCGTTTTATACTAGTCTGGGATGATAAGTGTGTCATAAAAGCTATTTCCATTTAATTGTCACCTTTCACCGAGATTGGTGAAATGCATTATAATATTAACTTTGATTATTTGCAAATGTAAACGAAAAAGAACCCGTGGGCGATACATCGTGTGATTTTCTGAGTTTGTGATGTTCAGAGTCTTTTTTATGTTTAAATTCAAAATTATATTTCATTTTTATTTCCAACTTACTTAATTTCTAAAACAGTTTCAAATGTACACTTAAAAAACAACAAACTGCAAGAATCTTGAATTATAAATTCATTAAAAGTTTTTTTGAAATGTGATTTAGCTGGTTTTCCATACTCTAAAAAACCAATGGTGTAAATATGACATGGTTTCTGGTTCTATATTATGTTCACCGGGTAAATAATTTAACAGCTGAGAAATACTTATTTATCTTAATAAGACGTAAAGATATCTATAATTTCATTTTCTTAAATAGAAAAATTAAACTGTAACGTATGATGAATGACTGTGGTCTTTAGATCAAAGCCCAAACGATCCGGTCGCGTCTTTGATTGACAGCAAAAGGGATTAGGTTCCAAAAACTAACCATACATTGCTTTTTCAATGTTTCTTTTTTTGATGTTAGGAAAATTGAGGACAAAATAATTATGGGATAAAATGCTGTAGATAATACAATACTTTGACAGATTTTCTAT